TCCCCATTCGAGAATCGAGTCTTCTCGTGTGGAAGGTAAGTACGCTGAGCACAGGACCACCTATTTTATTATTTATGTGTTGCTTTAATACTCGGTGATTGGTGAATTTCATTTTTTTGCAGTATTTCCACTACCTAGAATGGATATGAAATCTATTCGTTCAGTTGAAGGCAATAGCATATACTTTTTCGTTTTGTAATCTGTGCGTAGATAAGCTAATATCCATGTGGGTGTGGGAAAAAAACGATTAACGCATTATTTGCTTATCACTAATATCATCGTACTATTTTTGCAATGATTGAATAAGATTGTCAGTCAATTAGGACAATCTTTTGTTTTTTAATATTGTACAGTTTGATGTTCCCAATCAACTTCCATCATATCTAAATATTTCCAGAAATAGGTATTGCCACATTGTCAGTCAATTTGGACCATCTTTTTATTTTCTTAAAACATTGTACATTTTGACTTCCCTTTCTACCACCGCTTAATACACATTGATAATTTAGATCTATTTTATTGGTAGACTGTATAGGAGTTGACTCTTTCGATTAAAGCTGTTCGAAAATATGGTTATTAAAAATAAAATTTATCTGTTACCACTGATACTTTTATTGATAACTTATTCACAAAACATCTGTCAATGTTTGTTAGAAAACTAATCCCATATCCGTTATTGTAATATTTTTGTATTAGAAATGAAAATGCCGGTAAATCTAGAATATGGATTGGGTTTTCAACCCGCGCGAGAAGCTGTTGCTTAGGTGATGTGAGAAAAAAATGTGAATAAAAATGGATGTTAAGGGGAATCTGTTAAACTGTGAAGAGTATATTATCGCATTATATATCTTCATTTTAAATATCTATTGATTTTTGAAGGTTGGTTCCATTTCAGCAAGAAAGGGTGACGTAATCATCTTGTTGGTTTTAGAACATTCGAAAAAAGTCAGAGACCATCTGGGCATAATGTTAAAGTAATACAACACATCTCATTTTCAAGTGTTTAAAACACTATTATCACGTCTAAATATATCCGGAAATTGGTATTCAGTAAAGAAGCATAGATTGTTATGTAGGTTTAAATAAATTCAATATTTTTAAATATAAAAAGATATTGAAAAATATTCGGAATGGTCAATTTTTATTTTCACTTAAGCATTGTACTCCATAATTATAAATAGTGATGACGTCCTACTTTCGTGTACATAACGTTAATTATTTTTTGTTTGTTTTTAGTTTCTCCACTAAAGCACGTTTCTAAAAATATACATAATTATAATCCAAAGTGATTAGTTTGGGCATTAAAGTCAAATGTTCCAACAGAACCCAAAACGGTACTGTGTACTCGTTGTGGTCTTGCGCAGTAGGTTAGAAAGCGCTCTAACAAACAAATGATCGTTTATTGGATGAGCCTTCTTAAAAGGTTCAAATAAATTTGGACCATTGATGAATTGGTTTTTGTACAACCATTTCGGCACTTGATTAGGCTTGGACTGACAAGTTCATTTATGGTTACCACAGGAAAAGAAAAGATGATTTAAGTCTCCAAGTGAAATATTAAGCAAAATGGTGATGAATTTGTACCAATCTTATGAAGGTGACATGGAAATTTTGCATGGTTAAGTTTGAGACGTGCAATAGTTACTGCATATTTTCTTAGGATACTGAAGTTTGAAAGGTATTGAAAGTGAAAATACAGGGTGAATTAATTTATATTGATTATTAGATTTTTCTGTGAAAACTATCCATTGTCTCTCCCAATCAAATCATATTTCATTTATTTCTGAATTAATTAGGTCATTAAAAATTGTGAGTGATATTGAGAGTGATTGATTTTTTAGCAAGGACATCAACTGTTTTGTTTCCCTCAGTGACTCTTTACCCACAAGAAGGTTATTCTGTTTCCCGGCAGAGATAGGGTATGCACAATGTGTGAATATGTCATATTCTCTTATATTAGATAAATTTTAAGATTTCTGTATTAAAAAAAAAATCAAATTATCTATAGCCTTCAGAATAGATTTAGAGCCTGCAATAATAACAGCATTCTCATATATACTTTTCTTCTTTCGCCCATTGTCAAATAGTTCGCTTTTAGTAAATTATTTTGCTAGTAATTAACCGATGTTATACTCTCTAACAGTGAATGTGTTCATGAGATTAAAGGATATATTCCTATATCCTGGAGGAACTATTCACTCTATTAATCATGTGCTCGGAGTAGTCTCAATAAGCACAGGATGACAGCTTTTTAGAGTCATGCGGCCGCATCTCGGTATGTTCGCTTACTTTTTGTTTTCATGACAGGGTAAAAAGCTTTAGAACCCTTGTGACAACTCGTTTTTCCTTGCTAATAGAAGGTTATGGGATAATATTTTCAGGATGAGCCGATAGGTACATTATCTCCGAAAAACATCATTAGGTTTATTAAAAGACTCGGAGATACGTGAATACAATAAGATTTAGTGTAGCTATCGTTAGGTCGTAATGATGTTGTGATGAAAGGCATGAAGGCACTAAGTTAACCAGCCTTTGTGGGTTTAGATAGTTTTTAAGAGTGACTAAAAACATCGAAATTGAATGCAGAGTACTTCGTATTAAACTTGAGTGTAAATGGCTCTGAAAGAGTTAAAAATAGCAAAAAATCTATAAAGGAATACAAGGATGAGTAAGAACACTTCTAAACAATGAGAGGCAATATTTTAATAATCAGCAAAGAAAACTATGCAGTTTTTTTTTATTAAAATAGCAAAGCGATCTCTTCTAAGCCATCTTCGGTGAGTATTTACAATAATTATAAAAAGGTAAATATACTGGGTGTTCCTAAAAATTATGTACGTATGGAATGAGGTAATTCTTTGTCTTACTTCAGGACTATAAAAATAGTTCCGTAAACGCTACGTTACCAATCTACAGAATGTTGAAATTTCAAGATTTTGTTTTTGTTTCTCCCTTAATTTGTAAACACATACATATACAAGTTACTACTTCAAATAAGCACTGTCAAAATTAATTAAAATAAGAGATTATCTACAATAAAGACAAAACCTGCTAGAACATTTCCATTTAGCAAACTACAGATAAACGTTTTTATTATTTTTTTTTTGATAATGGTCGCAATACAAAAGGACTACAAGACATCAAAAAGTTGTTGAACGAAACATAAAATTTATTTTGTGTATTATAATTTATCAGCGACGTACCATAAAAAAGTTTAAGGGAAGAAAAAGACGGCATAAACCCTAAAAAAATACCACCATGTTAGATTTCCACAAATATTTGGCATGTTAAATGATGTAAGCCCTACAACGTAACCTAGATTTTAAATTTGAGCTAAATATCTCAAAAACTGTTAGTGTACCTCCTTTCGTATGTACATAATATTTAGGAACACCCTGTGCAATTATGAAAAATGTCTTTAAGTTCGATTTTTGTGAAATTTGCAGGTACCGATACAAACAAAACTTAGGGTTGAGAAGTTTCATTTTTTGTAAACTTTCGAAAAAGATTTATTTTAATAATTTTTTAAAGAAAATAAATAAAAACATTTACGCACCATTTTGTGGTAAATCTGCTTTTTGTTTTAATAAATATCTAATAGGTTTTAAATAGGAGGGTTTCCTACCTTAATTTTTTAAATGTCCCAGTAGAGTGCTGCCTTATCGTTGCACAAATTTAAAGCTCTCAATATTCCAGAGACAAATAACATCGCGAATTAAGATCGAAAGCAGAACAAATGATTAAAATCGCATATGATCTCGAATTCGCATATGATCGAAATTACAAATGATCGAAATAAAATGTTGAAATTTTAAGATTTGGTATAAGATCGAAAACATTAAATTACGAAATTTGTAAATTACTTGTTGCTTGCTCAAAATAGCGCTTGACGACAGCGCCTGACCTAACTAAAATAGCACTCTAACCTCAAATCGATTGTGGGAAACATTTAAATTGCTTTTAAAAAGTGATAAAATAAACATTTGTTTAATTTTGTGATACATTAAAAACATCTGGTTATAGTTTTAAGTACTTGGTCCCTATGAGAAGTAAACAGTCAATCTGATAAAATGTTTATAAAAGTTCCTTAAAATCTAGATATTCAAAAACGATAGTGGACCAAGGGCTGTTGCAAAAAACAAACTACCGTGTGCTTTTATATTTATTTTGATGTAAGTGAAGATATTCTTAAATTGTTTTTGTTTCCAATTTGATATACATTTTAGAAAACGTACATTTTTACTTAACACCGAGTCTGAGGGTAGGTACTTAATTAGTTTGCATTATTTTTTATGTGAAAGAAGATGCAAAAAACTGGACGGATTCCAAAATTATGGGTAAAAATTTTACAATAAAACGAGATGTGCCTCATAAATATACCACCTAAAATTTCTATTTAAGGCTCTTTAAATGACCCTCCCAAAAAAGGATTAAATGTTATTAATTGCTTTAACGATTATAATAAAGTTCGCCTGTTATTTTATTCTTTTTAAACAGGAATGTATAAATAAATTAGCTACAATAGGTACAAAAACTTAATTTATTAAACTTATGTACCTATTATATATTATGTTCAAATACGTTTCTATTATTAATATGAATTTAACAAGAGCTAATTAATAAATGTATTTAAAATACAATTCCTTTAAAATATACAAATCATTTAAGTGTTTTTTTTAAATTCTGATAGTTTTGCGAAATCTATATAAACTCCACAAAAGTAAATGCCTTGACTATACCTAGGCAGGTAAACTGTCTGTCTTACCATAAAAAAACCTTTTTAAAAGACTCGATTAAGGGTAATATAATAGGCAAATGATAAACACGAACTCTGTGTTAGTCCTCATTAAAAACCTAGCAGACATTTTCTTTCTTTTTTTAAACTTTTAATACTTGTTTTCAGTCAACAATGCAAATTAAATATTCAGTACAGACTTAGAAATATTCGGAAGTTATCCAGAATAACAAACAACCATAAATAATACCGATATAAATCTTACCCTTGCCAAAAGATCCTGTGGATCCAATAAGGTTAACTTGTTCCTCTTCAGGGATTTGATATGTTCCACGACCAAACTGAAATGCTCGGTAGCCTGAAGGCAGAGTTTCGATTCTAAGGACGTCACGACGTCCTGTACAGTCGTCCAGGCATCATATTTAAAGGATTTCGTTTGGCCGTTCTCCAAAAACACTTTAAGGACATTCGCCATTGGTGGAACTACCATCTCTCCAAGAGAAAATGCGGAAGGCTGAAAATACGATTATGAAAAATGAGTTGAAAAACATAATGCCTTTAATAAATAATTTAGTTATCAAAATACAGGATGACACAATTTCAAAAATTTTATAAACCAGCATAATCCAAAAATTTTCTTTAATCATTCATTTATTTGCAATATTGGGTTGAAGCCAAAGTGAAGTAACCACTAATATATACATTTAATAAAATAACAAAACTTTAAAATTAACTAATTATTTATAAAATCATGTAAATATATGATGTAATTTATGTGATGCTACAATGGAATATTCTGTTATATTTTTTATAATTCGGCCATACAAAAAAATGTTACATTTTACGAATTTATTTTGTTGTCGCTGGAAATAATAATAATAATTATAATTTGAATTCCATATGATGCTTATAACATTAAGCTGACGACAAATAATTATAAATAGAGGTCACCCATTTAATTGCTTAAACATTATTTATATTTAAATGTTCTCTTGTCATTGTAGAACATTTATTCAATAAAAAAATGGAAAAACAAGAAAATATCAAAGCCATATATCACAAAATATTACGAGGGGCCGTTGCTATCCAGAAAAAAAACTACTCCTTTGGTTAACTACAATAGACATTGAATTATTTAAAAAGACAAATGGTAGAGATAAAAAATTATTTTAAATACTCTAGAATAGTCTAGAATTTTCTTAGCTACTTCTGGCGAATGTGCGAACATTCGAGAATTACCACTTACATGTATAAATCAGCTGTTTTGCTGTTGGAGCGGCAAGTTCAAGTTGAGATATTAATATGAGCAGATCCACGTTATTAATATAAATTAGTATTATTACCCTGCACCTTGCAGTAGCCTGCGGTTGTTGTAGAAAACGTACGAATAAAAAAGTGCAATGTCACCAATCACTCTATAGTGTGTTGCGGTTGTCATAAGTAAAAGTTTAAATAAAAGAAGAGAAGAAAACAGTCTAGAAATGTTTAGAAATGTCTATAAATGTCTAGAAAGGTCTTGAAATGACTAGAAATATCTAAAAATATCATCGCGTGTCAAGAAACATATTGACTGTTCGAGAAGGTTAAAAGGAGCTATATAAGTCTATGATTCTGATATCAGGGTTTCTGTTTTATGATATACATTGTATTATTGCTGTATTGCTGTAAAAGTTTGAAAATAAATTGAGTTTACCACAAGCCAACGTAACATTAGGTGACAGCTGTAGGATCCAAAATAAAAGTTTATGGTAAATACTAGATCCACTGAGTAAAAAACAGGCATGGCCCTCCAGCATCGTTTTTATAAATGAAAGACGCAAGAAGGAAGAGAAAAAGGAAAGGCGTAGGAAGAAAGAAGAAGAAAAGAAAAGGCACAGGAAGGAGGAAGAAGAGGAAAGAGAAAGGGAAAGGCGAGAAGAGAAGAAAAACGCAGGAAGGCAGAAGAAGAGGAAAAAGAAAAGCACAGAAAGGGCAAAGAAGTGGAAAAAGGAAAAGGAAAGGTGCAGGAAGGAGAAAGAAGAGGAAAGACAAAGGCGCAGGAAGGAAGAAGGGGAAATGGAAAGGCGCGGAAACGACAAGGAAAAAGAGAATGAGGAGAGGCGTAGAAAAGCAGAGGCAGAAATGATTATTGGTTTGCTACAAATTCAAAAAAACTTCAGATTAGATCTCGTAGCACAACAACAAGAAATTTTACGAGCTAATTTAGAGCAATAACAAAAGAATTTAAAACAACAAGAAAAGTATAGAGTAGAGTTGGGAAAGGCATATTAGAACTGAAATGGTCGAGTTAAAAAGGAGAGTTCGTAGCAATGTTGTTTAACAAGTTATTTCCATTAATGGCATCCATCATTTCCTGACAGAATTGCATTCACCTTGCATTGCACTTTATAGGGATGACATTTATTGACTTTTAGAATCTTCCTTATAGATCTCTGGCTCATATTATCATTTAACGCAAGCTTTGGAACTGAACTTTTTGGATCTTTCTGTACACTTAAGAACCGTAATAGGTGTATTTTTTTTCATCAGTGGCTGTCCTCTTCCATCCACTTCTGAGATTGTTTTACACACTTCCTGTTACATTGAACTTGCTCAAACTTCTTGATCCTGTAGATTTAGAAATCGAGGAAATCCTGTCAGAAAATGTTTTATTGAACAAATCACAAATCCAAAATTGATCCACAAATCGGGTGTTCCCCCAATTTTGCCCAACCCTGTATGTTTCATTCAGGCAATCAAAAATTTTCTATAAAAAAAGACTGTAACTAACTGATGAAATAGAAATACAGAATATATATAACAAGGATCTTGACAGTGACTCTCGATTCTCATCCAGGCGCCTTTCAGGACCTTTTAAAAAACACAAACAAAACTAGCCCATAGCAACAAGGAATAAATAACTTGATAATAATAAATATCTGGAACTTACGTATTAAAATCAATGTTAACAAATAGATCAAAATAGAAATGATACGTGTGACATATTTGACAGTGATGTGGAAAAAAGATTCATATTCACACACGGGCGAAAAACACCTATGGGCATTTCCCATAAGATCAAATAGTGCGATATGTGACATTTTCCTAAGTTGTCGTTTGAAAAAATATTTTGTTAAGGGAATATTTTAACCAACCTGGTATTGAGTTATTTTTTTATGAATAGACATCCGCGATATTCAAGACCTAAATACTCTGTACTGCGAAGTTAATATCTTAATCTTTTGCTTCTTTCTGTACCTCTTCCTAGAATGTATTATTCTTTACTAATTTGTAAGGACGTCATCAGGCAGTATAGGAAGACACAAAACAAACAAATAAATAAATAAACAAATAAAGTGGTTATTGTCTAAGGTAGTTATTTTATTATGTAATAAATGTAAAATATTATGGTTGATTTTTGTGTTATAACAAAATTTCTTTTAGTTCTAATCGAGAACAGGACAGAATTATTTCAGGATTCAATTTAGATCATTTTTCCGATCTGGAACGTAGCGACTTAAATAGCGATGAAGAGGAAATTGAACAATTTCCAGAGTATAACCATATAGAAACTTGGATCAACTATGAAAAATGAAAAATGACCGTAGTAGAGTGTAGATTGCCTTTATGATACATTTTTTGGGCTAAGTACAAAATACAACTTTATTTTGTAAGACAAAGAGATTATTTTTCAAATCGTCTTAACACAAAATGAAACATTTTCATTAAATGGACATTTTTATTGCTTTTAATTGGTTAAATTTTTGATTTGTTCCGTTTAATTTAAATTCATAAATTACATTTTTGGAATATCTATCGCATTTCAGTCCATTGTCCATCCTGCTAAATATTAACTGTTAAATGAAAAATGTACAATACTAGAATTCGTTTGCTTTAGGAACAGTCCATACACGTCACCAATAGCGCCCCCCCTAATGTCGTTGGATAAGTCAGCAGTGGTTGGCAAACTCATTAGTCAATACAGCCAAATTGCAACAGCATAACTACTTAAATTTCTTTTGAGAGTCAAATTTGTTAAATTTTACTATATATAGGTAGGTACAATGTTATTACCTTAATTAGGATATTCTTATGTACTGATTGAGGTACGTTCGCTGAGGTCGACACTTTCAAACTCTCTCATCCACACTCGTCTTATAAACTTGTTTCGTCTAGATAATTTCGTTTATCCTCTTAATATATCCAAACGATCCTAAGATACTTTTCTTAATATTTAAAACTACATCTTCTTTCACTTCACAAACCCTTCCACTTTCTATTGTAGGTGCGTTGAATACAACTTTATTGATAAAATTAAATTATATTATATTTAAATGTGTGATTTTGAAATAGCAAATGACAATATCACAATTTCAACAGCTTTGGTAAGTAAATCAAAATGGAACCTTGGACGGAAGGCAAAATGCTTCGGAGAGAGGCAGATGAAATTGCCAACTGCAGGGTTGCACATTTTTACTACAATTCTAGCCTTTTCTCTGGGGATACCCGCTTAAATGTAATATATTGTACGATGCCCGTTTATATTTTATCTCTCTGGAAATGTTTTCTAAATAAGTCGCGTCAGAGCACTAGCATAAACATAAAGACAAATAAACAGTAAATAAGTATAAAAAAATAGGAAAAGCAGTCATCGCAAAGATCCAATCATACTGTATATGTGAGTCCGCTCGTTATAGTTTGTGTAAGAGCCACACTCAAGGGACCAAAGAGCAGCATGAGGCTCGCGAACCGCGGTTTGCCGACCACTGAATTAGTGGATCATCACTGTCGCAATTATTCTACCAACAGCAAAACGCATTCATAAGCGTCTACTTGTTTATTTTTATTATTTTTTTTTGCTGTTCCACTTTATTGTACAATATATTATGTAAACTTTGTAGTTAGGCGTGTCCAGACAAAAGGATGATGACATGCCTGACGAAGTGACGTCAATGAGCCAAACAAAAACAGATCATGCTCTCATTACTTGTGGCAAACATTTTGACTATTTTTAATCTATTGTCGTGCGAGCTATTTACGACCAGTCCGGTCCTGCTCTAATCCCTTATCTCTCTTTGCCTTATTTAAGTCTCTTACAGCCTCCCCTTTGCCAATTACCAATGGAATAGGTCAACCTCCGAAATCCCCCTAAAAGATCCGGCTATGTGGGCCTCGTCAATTGACGTGTACTGTTGACTTTTAAAATTTGGTGGATAAGACCCCGATGAATGATCTCTAAATTGCAATTTTTAACGAATTAATTTACTTTGATCCAGTTTAAGAAATGCTGTAGAATATATAGAATATTCGAGAATAATTATGGTGAATACATCGCTATCGTAGTAAGTTCTGGTGGTTGCGCGAACAATTTGAGAACCTTTACCATCGTATATAAATAAGTTACGTTTGATGTTATAGGGAGTATACAATATGTTAACCCATGGATCCTTCGAAACAAAGAAGAGACGCAAGTGAGAAAATAAGGAGAGGCTCTCGTAAATCGGGTTACTGCCTGCCTGCCTGCGTGCCGTGATTAGACAGATGGATACATCTCTACCAAAGTGGGCTGGCGCACACTGTTCTGTCTATGCTTAACCAATGGTATCTCTTA